TATCATAACTCGTGTATGAAGGCTATGTCAACCTTGCCTTTAACAGTTAAAATATTTGGCTTTCAGCCATCTTGGTTTTCTTTAACTTTTTTTTTTCTTTCACTTTGTGTGTTAAGTGAAACATATTTTGTGTAAGCCTAATTATTTATATATATATATATATATATATATATATAATTTTATTCTGTTTTTCTCTGTTCGTAGAAGCGATGCATGTGAGTGACGATGTGTGAAAACGAACCATTTTTGAGAATATAGTATACCCTAAATATAAATGACTCTATAGTTCAACTACTCCCTCATACTCTTGATCAGGTGTGCATCCCAGGATCCCTGCATCCCAGGCTAATGACTGTTTCCCCGTGACGATCCTCTTATCTAAGAACTCAAATGTATAGATTTTACAAGTTCTGGTGTATTGGTCACAAATGGGTCTAGATGTAAAAGCTTGTGTGACAAACCTGGCAACATTACACTCGGGAAGATTGAAACCCAAATCTAAGAAGCCAGCTGATTACCTATATTATAAGATCTGTAAGGTCTGCACTGAAAAGTTAGCAAGGAGTATAGAAATGTATAAGCAGAGGCCTCATTCATTAAGGTGTATATATATATATATATATATATATATATATAGGACATTCTCAGATCAGCTCTCATTCATTTGGCTGGTTACTCATAGCACACCTGTGTGCAGGAGAGGTTGTACAGATCTGATCAACAGAAACATAAATAAACAGAAGAATAAACCTTCTTATCCCACTTGCTCCTGTGCCAATTCTGGGGGCCACCTTTCCCCAAGGGTCTCATTTTATCTTACTTCAAAATAAAAAAATTTAACAAATGCAATTCATTTGCAATTAGACACAAATAGACCTTTGTTTTCAGCTCTGATAATGTTGACTTGCAGATAGCCGGCAGGCAAACTACTGTGACTCAGCTGCATTGAAGCATGTTCTCATGTCATATATGGATTTTTATTAACCAGGTTTTAGTTCCCTGCGGGTAACACCACTCCCTACATATTCAAATCCCTTCGCTACAGGATCTAATGCATTGCAGAGATTTATCTTTGGCAATAAACACCTTTTGATGGCTTTGCAGGGTTATTTATTACATTGAGAACATGTAATTGATGACTGTTACACCTGTTCGCCAGTCTGCTTCAGTATGAAGGTTTGTTTAAATTGTTCAATCATTGTTCATTTTTTAGCAACTGAAGTATGATGAAGCACCTCAGATGAATGTAAATTTTATGGATAATGAAGTTCAGTTGTATACAGCTAAATCTACCTGATGGCCTTAAAGCACCTTTTTGTTATTCTGGTCCGCTCCATACCCTTCCGTGTTTTATTCATTAAACACATTCCTTCAAAAGCTTGCCTTGAGTAAACATTGAAAGAGGAACAGAGTGGGCGGTAATGCTGTGTGTTTATTCCCTGTAGTCGGTCAGATGAATAGGCATGTCTGAATTGAGCTCATTGTAATTTCATTTACAACAGGATATTACAGCATATATGTTTGGGTGTGTTTAACCCAGTAGGGTTTATGTTTGTTCACAGTCATTCACTGCAGCTGCTAATCATTTTTCAGGTGAAAGTGCCATAGCCTGCACTTTGTGAATGGATTTTGTTCCAGGCCAACTGAACATTACCATACATTACCATTCTAAAATAATTATTTTAGAAATAATTATTCATAACCACCCATTTTCAAAAATAGTGTATAAATATTCATGTTTCAGTGTTAAAATATTGTTAATTCTCATCTCGCACTTATAGTCTCAGCACACCCGAAACTCAGATTAGATCAGAAAATTATGCAAATGAAAACGGTTGGAACTCTGCGCAGCTCCCACTTTCACGATCTGTTTATGTTTGGAGAGCTTTTAAAGCCTGGCACACACTGCGATTTTCATCCGTTTTTGAGTCGTACAACTCTTTCTCGAGTCAGGCCAAATTTTACCTTTGTTGTGCATCGTTTTTGTGCAGCGTATAGGGGTAACAATTAGGGTTGTAACGATATACCAGTGTGACGGTTTATCACGGTTTGAACTTGCACGGTTATCATACCGTAAACATTTGCATATCTACGTATTTCCACTCGGCTGCTTCACTGCATTCACTGTCTACGTAAACATGAACATCACCAGAGCTGCTCTGAGAGAAAACTTAAATAAACATTTCCTAGTTTTATTCGAGAAAAACCATTGTCAAATACACTCTGACACTCAAAGCCCGCTACAACCCGTCAAAACAAAAGTTTGATTTAACTTGAAATTATGACAGAAATACTGTATATTAGCATTGTACAATGTACTTCAAAGTTATAACAACAACAATAATAATATTCTTTATAACAAGGAATTTATTTAAACATTATTTTTTAAGGAATATCATGTTTGTCCATGTTTTAACGTAGTATACCTCTGTTGTGCAGAACTTTGCCAAAAATAAGTTGTTAAATTTTCATTTGATAACATTTTAAAACATTAATTAAAATGTTAAAGTGTGATATAGATATACATAAGGTGTATAGCTTTATTTTTTATTTTATTTTTTTTCAGAAGGGAGACTTCAATGCTTTCATTAAAATGGTTTCAAGTTTGTTGTAATAAAGGATTTGTTCACTCAAATAACTTGTTCTTATTTTTTTGAGTCATTGTTACTGATAAGAATGATTGTTTAATATATACCATGATACTGTGAAACCGTGATATTTTCTGAGACGATTATCATACCGTGAAAATCTCATACCGTTACAACCCTAGTAACAATAGGCAGTCAGTCAGATGAATTTCTAAATTTCTAAATTCTACATGTCATAAAATCGGTCGCCCCTCCTAAGGGTTTGACTTGGTTGAAGCAGAGCTACAAACTGATTGCCCTAAGCTCAATGTATTTCCCTGTGTCTGCACGAAAACAGAACTAAGACCATGCTAATGATGTGTGTGGAATGGACAGAAGCTATTTAAGCTACACATTTCCGGGTTCAGGGGGTCCCATGTGTTTGTTTTACATGTGAACAGTCAAATAGCAGCTCAGCAAGATTGTATAGTGTAAGCACATAAATCTTGAGATTTGTCTTTACATTGTATTTATTTCATAGTTACTCATTTGTTGTCATGGTTACTCATTGAATTTGCTCACCTGTTGCTTGTTTTTTTTTTGTTGCTTGTTGATATTGTGGACTTTGTGCTTCAGAGTGTTTTTCGTCATTATAGTTTTGACAGCTGGAAAATATCCTTTCCGTTGTGCTGCTTGAAAAACACCTGACAGAAATTATGGATTTACCAGCAATCAGAATTTTCCTCCTAGAGCAGGGGGACCACACTCTCCAGGACCACATAAGAGACGTCTTAGAACTGGCGCCCTTGGTACTTCATCCAGAGTCTTCACTCTGTTCATTTTTTTGTGGGATTAAACTCCCAAACCCAGACCTGGCTGCGATGGTCCTCAAGGGAATTTTTGTGGCTATGTTGGTTTTTATGTGGGTGTTGATCAATTGTGGTTCCCCTGGACAGTGGAGGAGGAAGATCCACTCAGCCCCACGCCTACAACAGACCCAGAGCCAGAGCCTGCCACGCACCAAGATTCAGAGATCCAGAGCTTGAGACCACTCCCGCTTTGGAGCCAGAGCCAGCCACCAGGTTCTCCCAGCCTCCTGGCTCCTTTGTCTCAGCTGGTCCTGCCTGGCTTCCTAACTCATTCAACCTCGCTGGTTCCATCCAGCTCCTCTGGCTCCCACTGTTTCTGTCCAGCCTCCAGACTCCTTTGTTCTCACTGGTTCTGTGCAGTCCCTGTTTTCAGTTCAGTTTGTTGGTTCTCGTCATTATTACTATTGTTGTTTTCTGTTCTGTTATCATGGACTTTGTACTTCAGAGTGTTTTTGGTCATTAAAGTTTTGACTGTTGGAAAATATCCTTCATGCTGCATGGGGCAAGGATTTTCACAAAGTTGGACCTGTGTAACTTGCCATTTTGTCTGGAATTGGGAGGGTGATACATTTTTTTCCTCAAGGGGTACTTTGAGCATTTTGAGGAGGATTTTTTAGAAAGAACTACCAAATATTCAGTTTCACTGGTGTTGCTTCGGACAATTTGATTTCACTCTCTTGCTTCTGCCCGTTTCCAGGAATGGCAAGCCGGACACCTTGTCCCAGTGCTTTCCTGCCCCAGGCGATGTTCCCTGATACCATTTTGCCTCCGGGCCATGTGCTGGGGCAGGTTTTCTGGGGTGTGGAGAGCCATGTCAGACGAGCCTTTAGTGGGGTCGAGGTCCACCACGAACATTTGGTGGATGTTCGTCAGTTTGTGGGCACATACTCTCAAATTATGTAATTTACCTCCTGTTGGTCTTCTCCATTCCCTTCTTGGAATGGTGTAATTTTTTGCCTTTGGGGGGGGGGGGTTCAGGAAAGGTCCACGAACCGGGGACTTAAACTTGGGATGTCCGAAGTGCAACAGTGCTATATGTCGGCGCCAACGGAATGGTATCCAAACCCCTCTATGGTGTGTCAAGCTTTGCACATTGGGATTTGGGGATGTCTTTCATTCTTCTTTGCAGATCCTCTCAAGCTCTGTCAGGTTTGATGGGAACTATTGGTGGACAGCCATTTTTTAGGTCTCTAATGAGATATCTGATTGGGTTCAAGTGCGGGACTCTCAAGGAGTTGTCCCTACACCACTCTTACTTCATCTTGGCTGTGAGCTTAGTATGTTCTGCTAGAAGGTGAACCTGATGTCATGAGTTCTCTGGATCAGGTATTCATTAACAATATCTCTGTATTTTGCTACATTTTTATTTTCTCCTACCCTGACCAGTCTCCCTGTCGCTGAAACACACCTCTGCCACAACCATGCTTCACAACTGGGATGGTATTGCGCAGGTGATTAGCTGTGCCTGGTTTGCCCCAAACATGACACTTGGAATTGAGGTTCATCAGACCTGAGAATCTTGTTTTTCCCAGTCAAGCCGGCTTACACGTGTCATGCACTGAAGAGGGGCTCTGTTTGGTCACTGCCATAAAGCCCAGATCAGTGGATGGTTGTCTTTCTGTTTTTCCCATCTCCACACAACCCAACCAGAGTGACCATCAGGTTCTTGGTCACCTCTCTTACCGAGGAGGAAGGGCTTCTTCCCGGATTTCTCAGTTCATCCGATCAACTCAAGGAAGAGTCTTGGTTGTTCCAAATGTCTTCCATTTAAGGATTACGGAGGCCACTGTGCTCTTGGAAGCATTCAGTTTGCAGCAGAATTTTTTGGTAGTTCCTGTATCTGAGCGTCGTGTGGCTTGGTTTTTGCTTTGATCATATGAACTGACACAGCTGGGCTCTGAATCAAAGCGTAGAAACATCTCAAAAGTGATCCAGAGAAACAGTAAGCACCTCAGTTAAATTTTAAGTGTCATAGCAAAGGGTCTGATTACTTATATCAGTGCGATATCTCACTTGTCTTTATTATTATTTGTAATACATTTGTGGTTATTACGAATCTTTTTTATTCTTGAAAGTGTAGATTAATGTAAAAAACAAAATTAGCAGTTTAGTATATGGCTACAACATAATAGTGTAAAAAATATGAATGCACTCAATGCACAGCTTCAATGAGAAAGACTTATATTCAGAAAACAGACCGTTCTGTCTCCGCTTTATTATTTCATTAGTCATTTAGCAAGGTTAAGTGTAGCTCAGAACAAACACTATTCTCACGGATAACAATATAATTGGATAACGTCTGTTAATGTTTCCCTGCTGTGGATGTGGTAGCGCCCACAGTCTCCATCTGATTCATTGGCGACTCTATAAATTGATTGAAAATTTGCTTAGTGAGATGTCAGTCAGCATAATCGGATAGATCCAGTCAGTGTAGTTCTCCAATAAACAACTCATGCAATGTTGCAGTTGCTGGTCTCCTGTTGCAGACTCAAGTCTTTAGTTGGGAGTTTACTATAATGGCACTGGTCCCCCTCTGTTAAAACTACTTTTCAGGGAAGATGGTGCAAACTGCCTTATTTAACGCACCTGATTCAGATCATCAGCTCATTAGGAAAGACTCCATGTATGGCTGCATCTGAAAGCTTAGGCAGCTGACTTGATGTACCTCCTGGAGCTGTTTCTGGACAGACTTCTCAGGCAGCATAACAGTTTAATGATCTACAACAAAATATAGAGAGCTTTGGTGATAACTAAGTGAATGTTTAATTACTACAACACTAATTTCTTGCTAGAAATTACATCAAAATTGGAAAAAGTTGGTCAAAAACATAAATTTACACACAAACTGCCCATCAACCGCAACATGATGGAACAAATGAGTTGTGACTAATCATAAAACATTGTTTTGGTATTAATCATGTTTTTGTTGTGAAAGCTGATGTGTGATATGTGACACCAGCTCTGTTAGAAATGAGACTATTCTATTGCAACAAACTGGGCGAAAAGCAGGTGAAGTGAAGAAGAAAAAAGGGGTTTAAAAGAGGAAGGTAAATGAGTGATAATAGTCTTATATTTACTGCTGCCTGTCCTAAAAAGTTACATTGAACTCACAAGGGTGTCGGTGGATATATGATATGTGCTGATTCACACAGGCAAGATCTCGCTGCAGAAAGAAACGCATGTCTTGTGAGAAAGAATGCTTTGGAAAGAATTCCGATCCGGCTGTCAGGTGTGCTGAAGTCTTTAGAAAGCCGGCTGGGAGAACCGGATTGTTGGAACGGCATTAGATAAGCCTTCTAGGCACCAATAACTTTCGACATGGAAAACCAGTCTGGCTGCTTTCCTGCTTTACGATTTCAAATACATGTATATAAACAAATGCCCTCTTTTAGATGAAAGTCCTACAACATTTTCAAAATATCCTTCTAGGCCACAGAAGTTTTACATTCTAAAAGTTATAGAAAGTACAGAAAATGGGACAGGAATTTTGTGAAATTTATTTCAAAAAAAAAAAAACACTATTATACACATTTGAAAAGTGTCACTCAACACTACTTGCCATTGTGTTGTTAGTTTTGACCACATCGCACGGACAGTTAAAAATACAGAAACGTAATTTAAAGCATGTGGCATCAAGATAACCAGACACAAATTAAGAACAAAAAAAATAATTTTGGTAACTCCAGTCATAATTCCATGAGGCCAAAGGAAATCCAAAATCTGTGGAATTGATTTAAACGTGTGATCAACTGAGCTGTGAGAACTGCATTCTTTATAGGTATTTAACAAAACAAATACAGTGCCTATAAATTTGTGAATGACGCTTGTTCCAGATCTGCAGGGCACAGATTGCATGCGAACATTTGTGTGCATGCAATTCTATATCAGCAGCAGTGACTAAAGAAATGATGGAAGACGGAGCCCATTTTAAACTGTTGATCCTGGTGGTAATGGGCTCTGTTGACAGCCTACTGATTTTAAGTGCAGCAATCTGTATTCAAAAATAAACATGTAGAGCAGTCACATTGCATAGGTGATTACAAAACCTCCAGAATATAAAAATTCAGTATGCAATAATAAAAAACAACTTTTAATTTGCACTGTGCAAACAATATCTCAATTTGATCATGGACTCCTATTATGGAGTCAGAATCATGATTTCCTTATTATCAACCAGTGATGACGAGGACGTTAATCGCAAAGTAGTTGGGAATCCATCCAAATCCTTGCATACAAAATCCCACGACGGGGCAGGAATCCACCCAGACAGCAACATAGTTTTGGCCCAGATCCGGCCCACATCTGGCCCATGTGAAATCCATGCGGGCCAGATGTGGGCTGGATCTGAGCCGACACTGCTTGCTGTCTGGGCAGGCAAACGTGGAAGACGTGAAGTGCTTGAACATGACTTTTGACAACACCTCATTTCACCTGGCTTGTTTGTTCCCGAGTAGAAAATAACCAAGAGTTTTCAAGCCAGTTATCTCACAGCAGGTCAATAAAAACGTCTTTCCTTCGTCGTTAGTTCATGAGGGCCACTGTGCTCTCCGGTTGCCCTCGGACCAGCTCAGAGAAGAACTCCAGCGCCAGCCGCACGTGGATAGGCACAAACACATAGGAGGTGTAAATGACCATGGCCACCATAGTGAAGAGGAGCGTGTTGAAGATGGACTGCTCCCACGGCTCCAGCACATAGATGCCTGTGATGAGCAGGTACTGATAGTACAGCCAGCCCATAAACTCTCTCATGTTCTTCATATCCATGCGGAGGACCGACAGCTGCGCTACGAGCTGCTGGGGAAGACAACAGGGTGAGGCGCTTCCTTACATACTGACAGAGCACAATAGACAACCACAACAGATGTGTAATAATGGTGCTTAGGAGTGGTATATGTCTTTAAAGGACCTGTCAAACAATGCCACATGAAGTTATGACGTGAATGAGTGACTCTGCAGCATTCAGATGGCTTGTGTATTCCATTATTTATTTTTAGGGCTATGTTAGTTACTACTGATAACAGTTTCATCATGTGAAACTAAATAAACATTAATGATACACACTGACGTCCTAGAAGTAATGACAACTGGACAGTCAGTAGATATGTTTCCATCACTGCATTTTGAAATATTGCATCAGAAACGCCAAATTTATTCGTTTTCAAGTGGTTTTATGCTTATTTCTGTATAATGTTTTACACGACTGCGTTCCCAAACAGCAGCATCCGCCTCCGAAAGCAATGACTGCATTTACTGCGTTTCATCTGCTTGCTCTGAGGCGCAAGTAATTTATTGTATATGAAAATTATTATATTCAGAAACTTCTACTTTTCTTAGTGATATTTAGTGCCAGTTTCTCAGGAGGTGACGATTTTGTTCTCTTTGACTCGTTGGATGGAAACAGTGCATATTTATTGCAAATGTTTTATGCGATATTCCAATTTTGTGCACAAGTTAAATTCGCAACTTTGGATGGAAACCCAGAACTTTTAGTGAGTGTTGTGGTAATATTACATTAATGCTAGTTTATTTTCCGCCAGCAGTATAAGCACATCAGGGACCGTATCTGACCTTTGTAAGGCACACTGTGCATGAAGAGAGTGCTGGGATGAAACGACCCGTGTTTAAATGTGCTAATTGTTGATGTGAAGCTCAAGGGCAATGTGTAAAGCCCTGCAGGAGCGATCTACATCTTAGGTGCAGCACATGCATACAGGTGCAAAACCCTGCAGGAACACGTCTGCTCGCTCTCTGAGAACTCTTGAGGAAAACATACTCACTCCTGCTCATAAAATTCAGACTAATACAACAACTGGGTTGCATATTTGGACTTAAAATGGCATTGGTAAATTATTAATCACATAACAAGGCTATATAGTTTGTCTCGCTGCATAAAGTGAACATACGAATAATTATTTTATTTATTTTAAACTCAGTTTCAGTCATATTCAACCCTGTTTCTGATTTAAATAAAACTGGTTAACTGAGACATTACCACATCAGGTTGTCCAGTAAATCATTTTACTTTTAAGTATCCCTGCAGCTACAGATGTAATAAGTTTCTGTAGCGTGAAGTCAAGATGACTCAAAGAAAGCATAAACAAAACTGATTATACATAACAACGGACATCCATTTGTTGCACTGGTTGTTAATATTACAGACTTTTTTGATGCACTATATAAAACATCCTGAAGTAAAGGATACCGATGTGAATGTGCACATGCATGATAACAGTTCAACCGTGCATGAGAGTGTTTCCTTGTACTCTGTTATGACTGCACTTAGCAGTTAGTAATAGTAAGTTGCGTAGTTGTAGTGTTGTTATGGCCATTACAGTTATGGTTGATATTCATGGTCAAAAGCAGCATGCATCAGAGAAACACTCTCTGTCTCTCTCTCTCTCTGTCTCTTTTCTCTCTCTCTCTCTCTCTGTCTCTCTCTGTCTCTTCTCTCTCGGTCTCTCTCTCTCTCTCTGCGGTGATGATGCTGTAGCCGAAGTACCTGCCGCATGCATGTTTTACATTCCCATATTTGACTAAATTCACAAACAAACAAATTGCATACCAAAATGTAACGTTTTTGAGCCAAAAAACATGTTGTGGAGTAATTCTTACAGTGTATATGTGTATATATAAATGTATATTCCTTATATAACAATACTCATGTTTTACAATTTTATTGATTTACATGACTTGTAAATCTGGAGAATCCCGGTCTAAAGTCAAGACATACATTGATTTTCATTTGTTTTATCTTAATTTAATAGGTCTTGTTTTAAAGCACATTTAAGCCTTACCCCTGGTTGAGAACCTCTGCATTATGCATTATAAGCTAACACTGCAGAAAAGGGCTGCAAATGATGTTATCGCTATATAGTCAAAGCCAATTTACATCATTTTGTGTTATTAGTATAGCATATTTTCAATACAGGAAATATCTGTTACCTTTATGTTGCTCTGTGTACGCTTTACTATAATTGTTAGGGGAAATGGGAGTGTATTGGTTTGATATTAGATGAGCCACACAATCAGGAGATACTACAAATCCTTTCAGTCCTAACACAGTGAGCTGTATGAGAAGTGTACATCTAACTCTCTTCCCAAAGCATCGATCCATTAGCTCAAGTTTAGCACCAGTTAAGTCCATCGTTTGTTCAAATGTCATTATTGAGTTGTAACTACATATGAATAAACAATCAAAGGAAAGAATATAAATGAAGTGGGTCGTAATCACAATTGACATTATCCACCAATAATCAGATAAAGCAAAAAAGATACAATTAGCATGCATATCTCCTGTTTTTATTATAGAAATATTACACTTACTGACAAACGTTTGTGGACATTTGCTGTTTTGAATTGACAGTATGTAGCTCTGCATGCGAACAAAGACAAGAAAACATGAACTGAACAGTTTTCAGGTGATAAGTCAATGCGTGCATGTTGTGAACTAATTGAACGAATGTCATTTTTATTGCATTATATTAAAATGTGTCTATGAAAGTTTCTTCAGAACGTGTGGCTGAGTGAAGGTTCTTCAAAATGATCCGTTTCTATTCTACAGCATGCTATCGGACGTCAAAGAGAGATTTGCAAAATTTCAAAAGTATGAAGTTTACAAAACAAAGTTTAAGTGGGGCCTATTAATTAATAACGCTGTTATTACTAGCAATGGCCTCGTGTACTTCAACATCACAGTGTTAAAGGCTGAATCTGACAGCCACAGAGATTGATTTATTTTATAAGCAAGGTGTAATTATTCTGTGGACAAACTGTGTGTGTTGTTATATTTTTTCAGTTGACTTCTCAAAATTACTACTTCTAGAAGCAACAGAAATAATGATAAT